GAGGCGGCGGGGTTGAGAACGGCGTGGCCGGCGGATCCGACGAAGGAGCGTCAAGCACATGTGACGACTCCGGGCTTCGTCCACGGTGAAAGCCGATCCGGCGATGCACAGCGCGATGTTGATGTATTTCCTCAGTTACCAGCACGGATCAGCTCCAGGCATGACAAAGCAGATATCGTCCTCTTTTGGAAGATCAAACAAAGTAGTTTCGCTTTCACAACGAAGCACACAGCGTCTTCACGACATGGCTGCAGTGTCAACAATACTACAGCGAGAATAAAAGTTACGGCTTCTTTCTTTGCGTGAACGTTTGGGCGGCGTTATGCAAATCTTCTCACATCGTGACGTAGACATGTGGGGTGTGTTAGAACGAGCCGTTTTAGGTAGGTGTGGCTGACTCTTAACTTTTATAAAGAATATCTCTTTGGATTTAAGACTTTAGTCTTTGCAACTTTACAGATCTTCTTTATGCACCAAGAGCTTGTAACACTCCAAAGAGAAAGGAAAAATTGAAATCGCATCATATGACCCCTTTAAGTTTGCTTTTGTTTTAGGGTTGCTTCTAATTGTTATTCTGAAATGAGTTGTTCACAAGAACATTGTTACAGAAATAGTTTCTTGATCTGCCCTTGTTTATATTACAGACACCATTCATATTTGTCTGTATTTGCTGATTGTAATGTGTTATGCAGAATTTTGACGATTATTTTCCATCTTCTTGCCAGTGTCAAACCTGAAAAGAACCTTGCAGAAGTGTAAAATGATGGGATGGATGGAGCAGATTTCTGGTCATGGACTCAGTGGGTCATACCAGCTAAGCTATCCGTATTACCCAAGGTAAGTTTAGCTCACCCAAACCCAGCTTATTATTGCTAATTAAAACTAAAATTGTTAAAAATAGTTTTTGGTAACTGAAATAAAATGAAACATAATTAGTACTTGAAAAACTCAAATGAAAATGAAAAATGTTGCCTTGGCAGCTAACTGAAATAAAAGACGTTTTAAGTAGTTTTAAATAAAAATAAAAGAAGCTTTAAGTACTTAAACTGAAATAAAAATTAATTAAAGCTGAATAGAAATATGAAAAACTAATAGAAATGACTGTAGCACATAAGAAATTACTACAATTAAAATTAAACTGAAAATATAAAATTTATAAAATATAAAAACTCCACAACTCTTAGTTCCTAAAGGGATAGTTCACCCAAAAATAACAATTCTATCATCATTTACTCACCGTCATGTATTTTCAAAGCTCAATGACAATGATTTCTTCTGTGGAATATAAAAGAAGATATTTTCAGCGCCCGGGGAGCAGTTGGGGGTTCGGTTCCTTGCTCATGGGCACCTCAGTCGTGGTACTGAAGGTGGGAGAGAGCGCTGTACATTCACTCCCCCCACCTACAATTCCTGCCGATACGAGATTCGAACTTGCAACCTTTGGGTTACGAGTCCGACTCTCTAACCATTAGGCCACGACTTCCCTTTTGTAATGTGTTATGCAGAATTTTGACGATTATTTTCCATCTTCTTGCCAGTGTCAAACCTGAAAAGAACCTTGCAGAAGTGTAAAATGATGGGATGGATGGAGCAGATTTCTGGTCATGGACTCAGTGGGTCATACCAGCTAAGCTATCCGTATTACCCAAGGTAAGTTTAGCTCACCCAAACCCAGCTTATTATTGCTAACTAAAACTAAAATTGTTAAAAATAGTTTTTGGTAACTGAAATAAAATGAAACATAATTAGTACTTGAAAAACTCAAATGAAAATGAAAAATGTTGCCTTGGCAGCTAACTGAAATAAAAGACGTTTTAAGTAGTTTTAAATAAAAATAAAAGAAGCTTTAAGTACTTAAACTGAAATAAAAATTAATTAAAGCTGAATAGAAATATGAAAAACTAATAGAAATGACTGTAGCACATAAGAAATTACTACAATTAAAATTAAACTGAAAATATAAAATTTATAAAATATAAAAACTCCACAACTCTTAGTTCCTAAAGGGATAGTTCACCCAAAAATAACAATTCTATCATCATTTACTCACCGTCATGTATTTTCAAAGCTCAATGACAATGATTTCTTCTGTGGAATATAAAAGAAGATATTTTGAAGAATGTTTCAGCCATTTTTTCCATACAGTGAATGTCAATAGGGTCCAAAACTATTCTGAGACGGTATTTTGTTTTGCACAAAAGAAAGTTATACAGGTTTGGGGTTTTGGGGTGAACTTGGATTGTTTGCACATAATTGTTTCTTGAGGTAGTTTTTGAGGTTTGTTGATTTTGTCATAGAAGTGCCATAAAGGTGAGATTTAAGGCATTCTATGAGATGATCAAATTTAATAAACTTCTCCTCTCTGCAGCCCGGCAGTTCTGTTTCCAGAAATGATGGCAAAACTTAAACAGAAGGAAGGACAGACGCTCAAACGCAAGAGAAGTGATGAATCTGATGAAGAATCCGAAGAAGCGGCAGAAGAAGAATCTGAAGAGGAAGAATCGGATGAGGATGAGCCTCCTCGAAGAAAGAGGTGAAGTATATCACATAACAGTATCAGTGTGACATTATCTAATACTCAAACTGTATCTAGAGATTAGAAGTTCAGAATATCATAGAGACTTTTGGTTTAGACTGTGTCTTTGCATGCTTTCTGCTTGTCCACAGGACCCAGCGTGCAAACCGGACATCTGCGTCTAAGGCTCGTCCAAATAAAAGGGCTAAAACAGTCAGCAGAAAACCTCCTGCTTCAAAGAGATCAGTTGCATCGGCCAAGAAAGCCCCTCCACCAGCCAAGAAACCAGCCGCTGTGAGCAAAGCAGCGTCTCGAAAGGTACCAGCGCCTGTTAAAGCCACACCAGTCAAGAAGGCCACACCAGTCAAGAAAGCCACACCAGTCAAGAAAGCCACACCAGTCAAGAAGGCCACACCAGTCAAGAAAGCCACACCAGTCAAGAAAGCCACACCAGTCAAGAAAGCCGCCACGACCAGTAAACCGAAAACACCAGTAGCCAAAAAGATGACAAGCAGGGGGTCCAAACGGCCGTCGCCCAAAGCAGCTAAGAAGGAGGCAACTGAATCTGCCGTGAAGGCTAAGCCAGCCGCCCGCAAGTCACTCCGAGCCCGGAAATGAATCCCGCGCTTACCGATGGCAGAAAAGATCAACTGTAGTTGCGTAGACTGCAGTGCTGGCTATTTTCTCCTCTTATTTTTGTAGAAACTTCCATGTTCTCCTCGTCTTGGGGCCTCTGATGAATATAGGACCTCTTCAAAGTTATTCTGCCATTCAAATACAGGCATTTTATGTTCAATATTCTTAAATTACAGGTAAAGATATAGAGTAGAAATGCTACTGTTTGTGTTAAGATGCTCATTCAGGTCACCATTATGAGAACGTCGAGAAGGAGCTGTTCTCAGATGTGTATCAACAAAAAATCAATTATTTAAAGTTCTTGTAGTCAGTCTTTTTGTAGAGGCAAGCATTTCAGTTTTTCAGCCGCCCCTTTCGCATCAGTGTTCAAGAAACCTCTTTTTGTACGTTTTATTTCGGTCATGTTTTGTGAAGTTAGGTCTTTAGCTACTGTTGTAATCAAAAAAAAAAATTTACATTTCGTTGATGTTGGTTCTTTCGTGTAAGTCAAAGTAAAGAACGATTATTGATGCCTAACTTTCAGTTGAACGGTCTACCTGAATGCAAAATTGGATTTATTAAGATGCATTAAAGAAACGTTGGCATCCATATACACAACTGTCTTTTTGTTCTGTATAGTCTATGATGAAGAATATAAGTTGAAAAGATTTTCCAAGCAGATGTTTAAAACATTTGACACTATTAACCCGGTCATACTCTTGTGTGTTAGTTTATCAGGGGGGTTAGATGTAATTTTATGAGCATTGCTCACCTTACCGTGCATGCATGTAACTGCTATACTTTTCTGTAGTCCTTAATAAAGTGACTATATTTGTACTTCATTATTTGGCCATTGTTTTTTTTGGGGGGTGGTTTGGTTTAATACTCAGTTAAGGTTAATGATAAACCAGCACTAAATGACTTCCTGAAACACACGGTTTGTGTCATTATCACAGCAGTCTATGTTAATGTGAAGTTCTCCACGGTAAATTCTTAATCTTGTTCTAACATGCACTTAAAGAATGCTTTAATTCATTATACTAAGCACTGAAGCATGAAACAACGTATCTTGTGACTTGCTTTGACTTGTCTTGGTGCTTACAGTATCTTAACATTCACAAACATCAAAGGTTTTACAGAACCAGAGATGGCAGTTGAAAAAGAAAAATTATTGGTTCTGTTGAACTAATTATGATGACTTGTATTAAGAATAATTATCAAAATATATATATATATTAAATGTATAAATATATTAAAAATAATTACTATATATATAATTTTTAGCAAATCAAATAAATATAAGCAATATTTTAACTATATGTACTCAGGCCTTAGTTAAAAAACATATATTGTAGGCTAGTCACGTTTTTTCCGTTGTTTCCTTTTAATGAATAATCGAGCGGAATTGCAAATTAAATCAATTCAGTCCGAAGCGATTTAGTTCGGTTTTTGTAGTATAAATGGCAGTTTGCGAACACAAAAGGTAATTCTTTTTTTATGTGTCCGCTAACATTGGAGACGCCCAAACAAATCATCTATATTCTGCACTACACTACACTATTTAGTTACTCCTGTGCTGACCTGTAACACACTTGAGTGATGCCCCCGAAAATTAATGGAAGAATATTTTCTTGAATTTGAATATTATAAACACACTGATTGAATCAATTGGTGTGTATTATTAAATGAATCAGTTTGACTCACTTCAAAGAGTCGGAGATCCCGAATGAACTGTGCATCGGAGAGTCTTGTCAAATCTTTTCCGATGAGTCCAGTCTGGCTCTGGATAGGAGGGATTTAGAGGATTAAGGTGAGTCAGGATTGCAAAACCCTGGAGGATAATCGACCCACCCTGCCAGGTTCAGTCGCGTGGAGTAATGTTTGTAAGTTTGGATTTGTTTCAACTGTCTGTTTTACTGTTATTTCAGCCACTTTCTGTATCCTCACGGTATTGTTCAAGCATTAAAGCGTTGTTATGTCAGAAAGTTCAAGTAGAAATAAAAACATTTTCTTCCGTTTTTCGTGAAAACGGTTTGGCTGTGTCTCAAAACACACTTTCATTTTGACCAGGCTGTTCACTGTACAGCTGGTTTTTGAGATATACCGCCTGTATCTTTGAGGAATGTGTGTGATTCCCGTTGTAAACGTTAAGAGAGTGTTGCTTTAATAACCTATTATCTTTCACTAGTTGTACTGTGCTGTTCTTCCTTAAATTGAAATGTTGGAGGAGTGTGGCTTATCATATTTTGATAAACATGCTGACCTTTTTTTCTCTCTATCTCTCTTTGTTTAAACAGTAGATAAGGCAAAGCACAACAGGCTCAGATTGAGACATGGGTGAGACAGCTGGCAAGGAGCATGGAATTGTTACAAGATCTGCTGAGGTGAAAATGTTTTAATGCTGTCCATGTGATTTTTGCATTGTGATTTTGAGTTGATTTTGAAATTGAATCCGTGGTTTTAATGTGTTGTTTCATCCCACACATTGGGATGATTGCATCTTGAACTCACAGTTCTGTTTACTGCGTAAAAACTCCATTTGTATAGTATATTGGCTCATTTCCTGTGGATGACGGTTGTTTGGATGATCAGATTCAGCAGCTGCACACTCAGCTGAAGTCTTTCAAGGTAACTGGTGTGCCGTTAAATGAACCTCGAGTATGTTTGCTTTTTTGTATTTGTTTGCAATACAAAAGTTTGGACACTTGACTAAATTTGTTTTTAATGCTCTTGAAAGCCTTTTGATCTAAATACATGCTTATGTGCTTGCAATTAGTTTTATAGACAAATATAAATTATGCACATATATTCATTTGAGTATTTCATCATTTTAATGACTTTGCTATTATTGTACAATGTCAAAATATTTATTTATATAGCGCTTTATACAACAAAGACTGTTTTAAAGCAGCTTCGCGGGAATAAACAAGAAAGTAAGAGCATTAAAGAAGTAGTTCACTTCCAGAATAAAAGAATAAAACATTTCCTGATAATTTACTCACCCCGTGTCATCCAAGATGTTCATGTCTTTCTGTCTTCAGTCGCAAAGAAATTAAGGTTTTTAAAGAAAACATTTCAGGATTTTTCTCCATATAATGGACTTCAATGGTGGCCAATGGGCTGAAGGTCCAAATTGCAGATTCAGTGCAGCTTCAAAGGGCTCTACACGATCCCAGCTGAGGAATAAGGGTCTTATCTAGAGAAACAATCTGCAATTTTCTTAAAAAAAAAAAAAAATTGATATACTTTTTAACCACAAATGCTCATCTTGCACTAGCTCGACTTCACGCATTACATAGTCACGTTGGAAAGGTCAAGCATGACGTAGGTGGAAGTACCAACCCAGTGTTTACAAAGTCAACGTGCAAAGAAAGTCAAATGCCTTTTACAAAAAAAAGGTAAAACAACGATGTCGGACGATTTTGAAGTTGGAGGAGAAAATGAGATGTAGTTTTTCGCCCTACCCAACCTTTTTGAACTGGAGTACACAGACGAAAAGCTAACCGCGTTTGACCTTTCCAACTTGATTACATCATGCGTGAAGTCGAGCTAGTGCAAGATGAGCATTTGTGGTTAAAGTATATAAATTATTTTTTTTAGAAAATGACCGATCGTTTGGCTAGATAAGACCCTTATTCCTCGGCTGGGATAGTGTAGATCTCTTTGAAGCTGCACTGAAACTGCAGTTTGGACCTTCAGCCCATTGGCCACCGTTAAAGTCCATTACATAGAGAAAAATCTTGGAATGTTTTTCTCAATTTCTTTGCGAGTCGCAAATTGAGACTGAAGACAAAGACATGAACATCTTGGATGGCACGGGGGTGAGTAAATTATCAGGAATTTTTTATTCTGGAAGTGAAATAATCCTTTAATGTTGCAAAGGTCTTCAATTATAAAATAGAATTTCAACTGTTAAACTGCTCTGAAAACACAGTTGTGTCAATGTTCAGCTCGATCTAGCTCAGTGTTTATTCAGCTTAATTAAATGAAAAATAAAATGTGGAGAATAATCATAATATATATGATTTATAAACATCTGTGTCTGCAGTACTGCAAGAGCAAGCGAATGGTCTCATTGAGATTCTCTATCAAGGGAGTCAAAGTTTATGATGAAGATGAAATGGTAAGATCGTCTTAGGATTTCTGACATTCCTCTGTGTATGTCATATGGTTGAACTCTTTGTTATGCATCTCTTCAGACGCTCCTCATGGCTCACGCCATGTGTCGAGTCTCGCTGTCCACCTCCCATCCGTCTGATGCACAGTTTGCCTTTGTCTCCCATAATCCTGGAAATTCTGATGCCCAGCTCTATTGCCATCTCTTCAGAGCCAGACATGCCCGAGCTGTAAGCATTAACATGACGAAACCCAGCAAAGGTTTTGTGGTTGGTGTTAATCACTTCCGTTATAAAGCGTCATATTTTGTTTGTAATATTGCACATGTCGGCTCTAGAATCAAGTCACAGTAGTGATATTTAGTAGTGCCAAGACTTATTATCTGCTTGCTTTGCTATATACCCTCAACTAGATAGGATTCAATTAAAGGGGTCATATGATGCGATTTCAAGTTTTCCTTTCTCTTTGGTGTGTTACAAGCTGTTCGTGAATAGATACGATCCCTAAAGTTGCGAAGACTAAAGTCTCAAACCCAAAGAGATATTCTTTATAAAAGTTAAGACTGGTCCACGGCACGCCCTCCTAAAATGCCTTGTTCAAACACGCCCCCACATGTCTGTCACGATGTGGGAAGATTTGCATAACGCCGCCCAAATGTTCACGCAAAGAAAGAAGGTGTAACTTTATTGTTGCTGCCACCGCCGCCGCCATGTCGTGAAGATGCAGACATGGTTTTGTTTACGCGGCGCGATGCAACGCAATGTGTAAAAAGACAGTATAAGTCATTATAATCAGTAATTATGTCCCCACTGGATGCAACAAATGCCTCGTTTATAATGGGTTTTAATGTTTTTGTCTCGTCGCTCCGGGACACGGCATCACTGTATGGTAAGGGGCGTAACATATTTCCGTCACACGCTTGAGGTATTCGGCCAATCACAACGCACTGGATAGCTGGCCAATAAGAGCAAACCTGGCTTTTCAGAACGATGAGCGTTGTAAAAATTGACATGTTTCAGAAAAGCGGGGCATAGAGAAGAAACAATAATGTACAGTATGTGGAAAATAATGTGTTTTTTATTTTACATTAAACCACATAAACGCATTTCATTACACCAAATACACAAAATAATGTTCTTTTTAGCAGCATCATATGACCCCTTTAAAAATGAGAATAACTCCTCAACCACTGTAAGAATTTAATTTCTTGTTTTTTCCTCAAATAAAGGCCCAGTTCCTGAACCTGCTGCTTTGCCGCTGTTTTCAGCTGTATTTTCTGGAGAAGCACCCAGAGGAAGCACAGGACGAGTGTTCAGGGAAGAAACCAACTCGAACGCCATCATTGCTTAATCAAGGATTCCCTCTCAGTGTTAGTGCCTTGGTGTCCTTCCGCAGGGCCCCAACTCAAGGCCTACTGCCGGGGGCAAAGGTTTGTTCTCACTGTATCTAGCATATTTTGCTTTATGAAGATTATCATAACCTTGAAAAGCTTTCAAAGGAAATTGATGCAAATGGCATAAAAAGCAGTTGATACAAGCACTAGTTTGATACTAATTAAAGGAATATTAACTGGATATTTTAATATAGAATGTTTTGATTTGTCCCCAATTGAAGCATACATTTGCAGCTTGTGGTTTTGATAACACAAAAAAATGACTTGAGCTGCAAGATTTAAATCTAGTCTAAATCATTTGCTAAATGTTATATACAAATGAATGTAATTTTTATTTAATATCATAATATTATTTTTATTGTTATTATTATTCAATTAAAAAAATTATACATATATACTTTATTTTTAAATTGATAGCACAACCCACAGATGCTGTGAATAGAGCTTGTTTTAAATATCCCTTTTGAAACTGCCTGAGAAAAAATCCTTAGATTCCTGAGTTTTTCCAACAGTTCGAATGCTGGACTGTTCTGCAGTGTGTTCATCTCGATTTCCCTCAACAGGTGTTCTCGCAGCCGAGCACGGAGCAAGTCAGCAGTCCTGAAGAGGGCCCCACTTCCTCTCCGACTTTAGTTCGTAAAAGGGCGATTCGAACTAAAGAGCTGCGCTCCGGAGCGTATCGCTCTTTTACATTTACTCCCCTAAAACAGCGCCACCTGCAGGATAAACTGAGTGCACCACAAGGTGGGATAAGTGTTCATAAAACACTTTCGAAAGTGAAAGAGTTCATTAGGTAATGCAAACATCTAGTTAAGGTGGCTGGCTTAAGACACAGTGGGTTAATTAATTATACTGATCATTTATCTTTGGATTTGGTGGTTGGTGGGGATTTCCATAATATGGATCAGTGTTTTTTTATTTTTATTTATTTATTTATTTTTATTTTCTTAAATCTTATGCATGTATATCTTTTTTTCCAGACAGTAATATGTGTGCTACTCTGAATATTTTTATAAAAATTATTTTCTAAAATAAGACTGAACTTGTGGTCAGTCCACACTAAGATTACTGCAATGTTTTCTTTTGCCAAAGAAAACAAACATGGACATATCATTTGTGAAACTAATGAGAACTTGATTCCTGTGGGAATCTGAAGAATCTTTTCTTTTTGTGAAACAGAAAAGGAACAGGCCAATGCAAAAGCATGCAAGTCTCCCAGTTTGGCCGAGACAGAAGAAGCTCTGGCTCAAGCAGTGTGGTGCTGGGCTGGCGTGTCTAGGTCAGTATTAGTACAATAAGACAATGAAGTCTGTTGTTCTGGAAAATTTAAAGGAACAGTTCACCCAAAAATAAAAATTTGCTGAATATTTACTCACTCTTAGGCCATCCAAGATTTAGATGAGTTTGTTCCTTCATGGGAACAGATTTGGATAAGTTTAATGTTACATCATTGCTCACCAATGGATCCTCTGCAGTGAATGGGTGCCGTCAGAATGAGTCCAAACAGCTGATAAAAACATCACAATAATCCACAAGTAATCCACATGACTTGTGTTCCGTCAGTTCATATCTTGTGAAGTTGAAGGCTGCTTGTTTGTAAGAAACAAATCCATCAAGTTTTTGACTTTAAACTGTTGCTTCCAGTGAAAAAGTAATCTAGTCTGAGTCCGTAGAGAAAAATGCACATATCAAGCGCCATTCACACATACAAAAAAAGTCCAAAATGTTTTTTTGATGTGAGAGGACAACTGGATGGACATTTTTACTTTTATTATGGAAGCGTTATTATTGTTATTATTAGATTTGCTTCTTACAAAAAGGCAGCTTTTCACTTCACAAGATGTTAATTGATGGACTGGAGATGTGTGGATTACACAATTAGTTATTGTGATGTTTTTATCAGCTGTTTGGACTCATTCTGACGGCACCCTTTCACTGCAGAGGATCCATTGGTGAGCAGGTGATGGAATGCAAAATTTCTCCAAATCTGATCGATTAAGAAAAAAATCAATGTCTTGGATGGCCTGAGGGTGGGTAAATTTTCTGCAAATTTTCATTTTTGGGTGAACTATTCCTTTTATAGTTTCAACAAGTAATTTCAATGCTTTATTCTTTTGTTTAAAGCAGTATCTCTTAATAGTACCTTTCACATGGTTCTCCATTGCATAATTCTATTCTGAACACATTTTTCAAGATTTTATTCTGTCATTTGTCATTTTTAGGCTCAAATGTAATCTCCTGAACTTAGTTGATTTTTGGGTGATATAAAGATCTACAATTAATCTCTAAATAAGCTAGGTAGTACATCAAAGGAATTGATTCTCATTGCTTTTAATCTAGTATGTGCATTGTTCACTGTAGTCAGCTGAGTCTCTGATTTCCTTTACAGCGACTGTAGTTCCTCACTTCTGGCAGATGATGTCTTGGGTGCCTTCCTGCTATGTCCTCATCCCAAAAAGCCCAGCCGTGGGTGTCTTATAGTCCGCTTTCCCTCAGGACTGGTAACTCATGCTATTAAGAATTCGAAGGGGAAGTTCCGGCTCGAGGTGAGCAAAGATGGAAACTTTTTCATTAGTATTTTGTTTTCCTTGCTCCACTCTTAAACCATGTGTCGGAAGTAAATTGTAGTAAATGTTTAATTTTCCTTTACAGAAATGCCACATTGACTTTGAAAGCCTTGCTGCTTTGATCGAGTACTACACAGAGTTCAGTGAGGAGCTGGAATGTTCTCTGAGCTGCGCCCGCGTCAACCACTGCTACGATTGGGAAGAGATTGTGAATAAGAGTTCACGTTCACTGCAGGACAACAAGAAAGGCACATTCCAAAACCAAAGTTGGGTTTGAGTCCTGTCTTGTATGGACTTTTTTAAATATAATCGTTTAAAAAAAAACATTTTATATTTTACTTGGTTTTAAACTTTATAGAGCTGCTGACATTAGTAAACCTTCCTAACAAGGATCTTAAATCACTGTCACACTTTTTTGATATTTTGAATGGACACTCCTGTTTTGCCTGTTGGGGATAACCTTAACCCACCTAAAGCACTCACATTGTGGGGGTTTTTTTTGTTTAAATTTGTTTTCTAGGGAAACAAGCACTTCCGTTTTTCCTGTAAATGTCAGATTTAAATGTAAACTTGACAACTTTTTCGAAGGTGCAGACTGTGTGTTTCATGTACCATGTCTTATGTCTTTTTAAATCCTGTGTTGTATGTTTATATTGCTTTAGGTCTTTTTTTTTTATCTCTCTCTGTTGTATATTACCACCAGCTTTTTTTTTTTTTTTAGTGATAACCTAAACGCATCCAGTGAATGATTTTTTTTCTCTTTCTCTCTTTGGCTGGCTTTGTTTGAATGTTTTGTAACTCTTGCACACTGCACACATTTTCTGTTATTATCTTTGCACCAATGTAAACTAAGTGTCTGCATCTTTGCATAAACTGACTGATTATACCGTCATTGTGTCCTTTTTTTGTTTAGTTTTAATGTTCATTACTTTGAAAGAAACCAGTGGAATACTGCTGTTTAACCAGATATGTAGATATTGAGTTGATAATGGAAGATTTTCATTTAGGCTATATAGCTATATATATATATATATAAAACGGTGTTACGTGGTAATCAGGATACAAAAAACTGGTAACAGTCATGGCCAAAAGTTTTGGCGGTGACAAATTTTGTGTTTTGCAAAGTTTGCTGCTTAAGCTGTTGTGGTGTTCATTCACATTGTTTCTAGGTTATTGTGTAGAGTGATCGGATGCATTTTAAATAACTGATAAAAGCTTCATTGGCCAAAAAATGAACTTTTCACAAAAAAACGAATTTCTTGAAAAAAAGAACCTGACACCTTGTACTTCTGGAGACTCCAGGTAGGTTGCAGTTCTGGAAAATGGTGGCGCTGGAGACTAAATGCTTCCTGGTGATTTCACACCTAACTCTTCACCTTAATTCATAATTCTTTTGCAGTTAACATGCATCTTTTCTTCTCCACATGTTTTTAACTGACCCTGCTGACGCACTGAGCATTTTGCTGTCCAATGGTTATGCATTAACTTTGCAATTTCTAGTATTGTATTAGTTTTGAATATTTCTCATGGACATTTAATAATTTTGACTTTTAGTCTGATTTAAATCTCTTTTTTGGCTCATTTTAACTGTAAAACTCTTCTGCTGTCGATGTAATACAAGGAATGTTGTGATTGGTTGTCAAGGCAGCCAATCCGAATTTAGCAGCCTCGTCTCTGATTGGCTGGAATTATGGCATATTGTAATGACTGGGTTGTGTTGAGCAAGCAATCCATTAGCATTTAGAGAGCTCTGAGTAGTGTTGCCAGATTGGGCGGGTTCCCGCCCAATTGGGCTGTTTTGAATTTGATTGTGCGGGTAAAAATTGGCTTGGGCGGGTGAACAAAATTTGGGCTGGTTTGGGGTCAGTTTGGCGGTTTTCAAACATATAAATTGCATAGGCTAATTGTTTAACAAAACAAGCCCAAGTATGTATACTGCATCCAATCAGTCATCATAAC